GTGATCGGTCGTGCTGGTTATTTTAGTTATGTCCTGAGTTAAGTTATTGTGCAAGATGTCATCTGACGTTCCAAACGTTTAAGTGGTGAATTGGGTCGGCTATTGTAGGGATGTTTTGAATGCTTCTGTCACTGTTTGGAGCTAGTTGTCAAGCTATATTTGTTGCTACACCCACATTGATTTTGTTTTTGCTCTTAATGTTGAATGTAGTCCGGTTGAATCCATGATCGACCAGGGAACTTCATGGCAATGACTTAGTTGGCTTAATCAACTCATTATGGTCCGACCAAATTTTCTTTATTTTGGACTCGGCTGAACACAGGCGCGGGCGCCTATATAATATGGGTCCGTAACACCAAAAATGCATGATAGAATCATGGGGGACTCAACGATTATTTTCTGGGACTATAACTAAGTGAAGCTGAGTTATTGCCCCAAAATAGTTCCCTAGGACTTGACCGGACTAATGTTTCTGTAAGTAGTTAGGTGAGAGAGTGTTCCCGGCTTTAGAATATCATACAGTACATACTACATGTAGTAACTATCATGCAGTACATAGTACATACTACATGTAGTAAATATCATGCAGTACATACTACATGTAGTTAATATCGATTCTATATCATATCTAAGTGAGGGGTCTCTGCTTTGAATTAAATTTATTCGAATTACTTATCAGAGTTCAGTGTGGGAAACTATGTGACCAGATCGGATGCGAGGTATGTGAGAGTGCGGCGTTTTAAGCACGTGCTATCTGTTGTGTGTGTGTGTGTGTGTGTGTGTGTGTGTGTGTGTGTGTGTGTGTGTGTGTGTGTGTGTGTGTGTGTGTGTGTGTGTGTGTGTGTGTGTGTTTGTGTGTGTGGGTGTGTGTGGGTGTGTGTGGGTGTGTGTGGGTGTGTGTGGGTGTGTGTGGGTGTGTGTGTTTGTGCGTTTGTCTGCTTCTGCCTGTGTGTGTTTGTGCGTGTGTGTGTTTGTGCGTGTGTTTGTTTGTGCGTGTGTTTGTGCACATGTGCTGTGAAGCAGGTACATTGTAGAGAGTTAGGAGGCTGGGTCACGTGACAATACTTACTCTCAGAGGAGGAGCAAAGGATCTGGCTACCAGGAGACTTCTAATGACGAGTGGCAACTTGTGAGGCCCGGCAACCGCTTCGATCCTGTTTCTTAACAACTCGTCTATTAGTGATTATGCGTATTTCCCTACAAATTTGCTTGTCCCTCAGTTTAAGCGACTATTATCTATCGCCTAGTAACTGTTATTGTATCGCTTAGCAACCTAATGCTTTTCTGTAACCACGTGTTGCATTTTCACATAGAGAAAGGCTATTTATTGTCCAATAACATGTTGCTTCCAATGTTATTACAATGTTACTTACAGCTGTGATTAGCTAAAATCTGTATTTCTCATTTCAATTACCCCGTACATTATTTTATGTTTTCATTATCATAAAAATAGAGTCAATTATATACAAGGATTTCTACATATTATATAAGATAGTTTGTTCAATGTTGGTATAAGAATTCCATTTTAATGTTATACTCTACGAATGAAATTATAAGAATGTGATGAATGGTTGTTAATTTGGATGGTCTAATTACCAGTCAGTTCATTGTTTTCATTAATCACATAGAATAGTTATGTTTCTATGGTAACTAGTAGTGTAACTATGGTAACTAGTAGTTATGTTTCTGATATCAGGCAAATATCGGTAAAGCTAGTATTTTAAATATATTCTTATCCTCAATTTTTACCTACTATAATTACTTATAATATTGATATGTAATATACTAAATTGATATACTGACAATTTAATTTGTACCGTTTTTTTTTCAAAACTACTGTCGCTAATATCCCTGAAATTGTGCACAAAAACTATATTTTATTTGGAGCAGTTTGCTAACTGGAATAATTTGATCGTTAGTTAGGCAAACACAGGACACAGTATTGAACAGTATGTTGCGATGGTGATGTGATGCTTTGTACCACCCCACATAGCTGTCGTAATACAAGTGAACAGTTCGCCCTGGTCTTTCTGTTTGTCCTTTTAGCGATTTAAAATTATGATCAAAATATATTACTTTTCATTATGTTTAAACAAAAGGGCAATTCCACGGTAAGGTTCCACTTGGTGAAAATGAAAAATGTTAAGATAGGCACCTAATTTTGGTTAAAATATGTTCATTAGACTCTTAACCTTACAGGTCAACAAAAGTTTTTTGTTTCATATTGCGTTAACTTTTGATTTTTCTCATTCAAAGGAACACTACTCGGAAATGAAAAAAATCATTCAAATTTTCAAAGGGCCATAGTTTGGGTATGCAGCAATATTTCTCTATGAAATTCCATACACTTAGGCATAGGCATAAGAATGAGAGCTATGCAAAGTTTCAAAACCGTTACTCAAATACTTTTTCTAAAAAATTTCCACAAAGATGGTGTCGCGTCCGTCACAAAATTAAGCAAAAAAGTTTTTTCAGAGCCACATAGTGCTATTTATATTCAAAAAACCACTGTAACATATCTCTTCTGAAGGTAAGGGAGTCGAGTACCGTAGAAATTATCAGGCTTGTATCTTTTAAGAAAAAAATTTTGGAAGGGGGGTCCCAACTTGTCGCGTCTGTCACATTTTTTTGAAAATGCTCCAAAAAATCTTTAAACAGACTTTAAACGCATTTTTCTTAAAGCTGAGACTGTCCTCAACAAAACTATGTCGTCAAATCGAAAATTGGACAGAAAATGGCCGAGTTATGTATAATTTTGTATATGCCCATATATGGGCATACGGCTCACTTTTAGCCATTTTTATCCATATTTCCATTATTTTGACTAAAACCAAGACAAGTAGAAGTCAAATAAGGTTGGATTGTGTTGACTATGTTGACTAGACTATCAAATAACATCATATGCAATTCAATAATTAAATTTACTGAGTTTTTGCCATTTTATTTGCTTACAACTTTTTCAGAGGTAAAAGGCACAAAAAATGGACTTTACCCTATTTTCGCATATTTTTGAAGTAAAAATTCAATATCTTCCACAACTTATACACTAAAGTAATGAAACTTTTAGAAGATGGTCTCAACAGTATGATGCATTGAAAAGTGATGAATGTTTTACCAGAGTTATAAATTTGTTCAAGAAGAGAAATAATTGATGCCCCTAGACTGATACCCTAGCGTATGCCCAAAATGGACAATTTTGGCTATTGCAGACCTCTTGGGGGTATTTGAGGCCTAAAAATTGGCATGAATACAGAGTAGATGTCACTGAACAAGATAAAAGTGTCAAGTGGAAGATTTGGAAAAATTGGAAAAAAACGTGTGTCCGTCACAGTCGCGTCTGTCACAATTTGAAAATGGCGCCACGCAAACAAAAATTGAGCAATCTCCACGAAAATGGCATCTCAGAAATCCCTAAACCTTCTTCTATCATTGTAATTCCAAATTAGAGACAATAGATAACTTTTTGAGATAAATTTGAGTACCTTCTGAGTAGACACCCAAAAAAAAGTGTCATATTTAAGTCGCGTCCGTCACAGGGGTGCTATCTCAGAAAGTAATAATGGTAGGGGTCTGAAATTTTCACACAACCTGTAGAAAGGTTAAATGTGGACGAATAAACAGTTGGAACTGATAAATAAACAACATCTCGAGTACAACATTCGTTTGAACTTTAAAAAACAGCAAAATCGTGGTGTCCGTCACGGTGGAATTGCCCAAAAGAGAAATTTCTGAAATAATTGAGGTACAGTAAGACATTTAGTGATAACTTTTTGAATTTTTTCAATTTTGCTGATCTGGCTAATTGTATCAATATTAAAAAAATTGAAATTTTTATATCCTTGTATCATTTTTATAAACAATGAACCGTTTTGAAATAGATTAATTTTGCAGGAGCCATTTCGGTTTCACTGATCATACACTATGAAAGATGTAGATACAAACAAAAGTTGCTCCTCATAAGGTGAACCTACAATAGGAGAACTACTCCTTTATAATAATAATTATACAGTGTGTTATTATTAATAGTTATCAATAGAATTTTAGTGGAAAAGAAACAATGAAACATGCGAATCAACTGAAACTTTAAAGATCAAATTTTCACTGCCATCAAATTGGAAACTTCCCAAATAGTCAGGGACGAAAGAGTCGATTTTTGAGGTTCACTGGCACTGACTGTTCAAAAGGATGTCTTAACGGAATATGGTACTTTAGGGATTCATTTTGGGTCACTAAAAACGGCTCATAATTGGCCACGCCTTTTTCATGGGTTTTACCTATTACCCGATTTTTTCCTGATGGACTTTTCGTATACACTGCAAACTGTTCGAAATGACAAAATTTATATACAAATTTGTATATGGAGGATATGCCAGAAAATACTCATTTTTGAGGTCTTTGAGGCTTTTTAGGGCTTAAAACAGATAGGGATATAGGTATATTAAAGTATATTAATAATTAATATAAAGTACATCCCCGCCGTCAAAACCCCCCCCCCCCCCCCCCCTATATCTTCCTTCACAACTTGTATACAAATTTGGTCATTGCAAACAGTTTGCAGTATAGAAAAAGTCTCTACGACCTTCAGGAAAAAATTGGGTGAAAAGGGCGTGACCAATTATGAGCCATTTAAGTGACCCAAAATTGGCGTCAAGTCTAGTTTCTTTGAAGGATACCTAAAGTACCATATTCCGTAGGTAAGGAAATCCTTTTCAGCCCTGACTAAAATGGAATTTTACGCTATAATTGATAGTACAAATCTGGGTTCTTCATTTTTGACCTTTATCTGGAAGATTACCTCCGAATGAACTGCTTCTTTCTTGTGTGCGAACTCTATTGAGTAAACTCTGGTTTAAATGGCGTAACGCTAGATCCTGCGGGTGCGCGGCGCGGCGCTCCATCGGGTTACAGAGGAGATGGATGCTCGGCGAACGGTGGTTGGTATCAGTGATCCCATCCCGCTGCTGCCGTATACGCATGTTAAACTCAGACCTACATTCCAGAGAACGCAGAAATCGGAGAACCCCGCGTAAGTTAGATTACATTTATACAGTTTAGCAAAAGCTCTAAATTATTGTTTCAATTTCAGGTTGTTTTTGTACACTTAACTATTTAGCTCAATTTATTTTGCTTGCAGAACAATAAATGAACATTAACCATGAAGTTTCTACATCATGCTAAGTTTTGCTAGACCCCTATTCATTGTACATCGGGGCACAGTAAGTCTGGGTTTTATTGTAATTATCATTTCAGAGTTGAATACTTGCTTATCCCATGGTAGGCTGTACAATATAGATTCTGTGATTATCTAAAAGCTTATTTTAGTGTATGTGAACCATCCTCTAGCTAAACAGCCACTTTTATTCCCCTTTTATCACGATCATTACCTGCGTATAGTTGATAAATGTGCAATAGTGTCACAAATTTAAGGACGAGCAATTTTAAATTTATCAATGTATATTTCAATGTGTGTCTATTTTTAAGTGTATATTAAAATATAATAATTCAGCTAAACTTGGATAATTTTAAATATCAGCGGTGTCGATTGGAGAATAAACCAGAATAGCGAAAAGGACGGTAAAAAAAACAAAAATACCAATAATAAAAAGCCTATTGCTTCGGAGCAAAATTGTAAGCATGGTTTTTAATAGTTTGCAAACCCCATCCTCCCCATCATTCTTACAGTACTGATGTAATGATTATCTATTGGCTTATAATATAGCCTGCAAGAAATTAACACTACAACTCCTAGTGGGTATCCTTATAACACCCTAGTAACACCCTAGTAACACCTAGTAACACCCTAGTAGTAACACCTAGAAATTAACACTACAACTCCTAGTGGATATCCTTATAACACCTAGTAACACCCTAGTAACACCTAGAAATTAACACTACAACTCCTAGTGGGTATCCTTATAACACCCTAGTAACACCTAGTAACACCCTAGTAACACCTAGAAATTAACACTACAACTCCTAGTGGATATCCTTATAACACCCTAGTAACACCCAGCACCCTAGTAACACCCTAGTAGTAACACCTAGAAATTAACACTACAACTCCTAGTGGATATCCTTATAACACCTAGTAACACCCAGCACCCTAGTAACACCCTAGTAACACCTAGAAATTAACACTACAACTCCTAGTGGGTATCCTAGTAACACCCTAGTAACACCCTAGTAACACCTAGAAACTAACACTACAACTCCTAGTGGGTATCCCAGTCAGACTCAGCCCCTCAATGGAACCGCCAATGGTAAGTCAATTGTAGCTATGATAAGTTGTATTCGTCAATCAGCCATGGTGACATCCAACATTTGAAGATATATGCTCAAAATGAATGAACATTCCACTCTAGATAACGATGTAGGAGAGAACCAACCGTACACCACCGTCACAGAGAACACGGTGCTAAACGACAGAGGTAGCTACCAACAAAGAGAATACAACGACTACAACATGGACAACAACACACTAGGTAATTAACCCGTCAATCATTAAATAATTAATTAATTAATTAATCATTAAGTGTTTGTGCAGTAAGTTAGCCGCCAGTGTTCTTACATTGTTTGTGCAGTAAGTTAGCCGTCAGTGTTCTTACAGTGTTTGTGCAGTAAGTTAGCCGTCAGTGTAAAGTGTTCTTACAGTGTTTGTGCAGTAAGTTAGCCGTCAGTGTAAAGTATTCTTATAGTGTTTGTGCAGTAAGTTAGCCGTTAGTGTTCTTACATTGTTTGTGCAGTAAGTTAGCCGTCAGTGTAAAGTGTTCTTACAGTGTTTGTGCAGTAAGTTAGCCGTCAGTGTTCTTACATTGTTTGTGCAGTAAGTTAGCCGTCAGTGTTCTTACATTGTTTGTGCAGTAAGTTAGCCGTCAGTGTAAAGTGTTCTTACAGTGTTTGTGCAGTAAGTTAGCCGTCAGTGTTCTTACATTGTTTGTGCAGTAAGTTAGCCGTCAGTGTTCTTACATTGTTTGTGCAGTAAGTTAGCCGTCAGTGTTCTTACATTGTTTGTGCAGTAAGTTAGCCGTCAGTGTAAAGTGTTCTTACAGTGTTTGTGCAGTAAGTTAGCCGTCAGTGTTCTTACATTGTTTGTGCAGTAAGTTAGCCGTCAGTGTTCTTACATTGTTTGTGCAGTAAGTTAGCCGTCAGTGTTCTTACGTTGTTTGTGCAGTAAGTTAGCCGTCAGTGTAAAGTGTTCTTACAGTGTTTGTGCAGTAAGTTAGCCGTCAGTGTAAAGTGTTCTTATAGTGTTTGTGCAGTAAGTATCCCGTCAGTGTTCTTACATTGTTTGTACAGTGTTTTGTCAGTCTTTCTGCAGTGCTACCATGTTTCACTATCTCACATCCACAGCTGGTGCAATTCCGGGACCTTCAGGTCGTCCCCCTCTCCCTCCTCGCCTCACTTCAACCTCCAACAATTCCTCCAAACACAGTCTGATAGATACTGCTCACACTCACCACCGGACCACCTCAAAACATAGCATAAAGGCAGTGGACCTCTCAGAAGTGGACAAGTCTCCTTACTCTTCCCTCGGACAACCTTCTCTCCCACGCAAAATTGAGGATATTCCCAGACCTTACCACTTTGATCTTGCCACTATGACCATGCCGGCCCAAAAGCCTGCTAAAGGTCGTTTTCACGTCCCTTCAGGCTTAGCTAACATGCTGCACAAGCGGAGAGGTTCAAAGGATAGTCGGAAAAGTTTTGGTCTGAAACGGTCTAGCAGCTCCGCCAGTACTGAGTGCCGAGCGAGCAGACCCTTTAGTATCATTAGCACGGGAACCGTGGCAGGAAGTAGTAGGGCACTGGAGGACGATTACATTCCACCACCTCCCGCCCCTCTCCTGAGCCCTGAGCTTCCCCCTCCACCTCCCCCCATGATCCCGGCAACTCAGCCGAATGCAGTGCAGCCTGCCCCAACTCCGCTTCATCTTAACCTCAGTAAGCAAGGTTCTACTGGCTCGTGTGCTAGTAGAACGCGTCCCAAACTTCACTCACCTGCTACTCCCTCCTCTGCTGGAATGGACAGACATTGGAGTGTGGAGTTCGAGGGAAGGATGAGGACACTCTCGCAGAACAAACTGACTCACGTTAAACAGAAGGATTCCAAGTATTTTGGTGAAGAGGCAGCGTGCAGAGCAGATATTTTAGTTTCATATTCTATCTCTTCCAGCGTGCAGAGCAGATATTTTAGTTTCATACTCTATCTCTTCCAGCGTGCAGAGCAGATATTTCCTGTTTCATATTCTATCTCTTCCAGCGTGCAGAGCAGATATTTCCTGTTTCATATTCTATCTCTTCCAGCGTGCAGAGCAGATATTTCAGTTTCATATTCTATCTCTTCCAGCGTACACAGCAGATATTTCAGTTCTATACTCCAAATGAGAGCTTTTCCCAGCTTTTCTATTTCACTGCTGTCTCAATTTGCGATTTTTTCATTTTCAAATCAACCTCACAATGTTTTTAATCTGGTTTCCTTTTTTAACTTGTTCTGAGTGTGTATTCTCTCTGCTAGCACTTAACCCTTAGATTCGCATCACAACACGCTGCAATATAACGACGGTTCCATGAAATCCGGTACTCTAGAGCTCAAAGCGGTCAATCAGAGCCCCAAGGTATGGATTTAATGATTTTTATGAAGCGCTGTTATAAAAATCTGAGCTGGCTTGCTGGTCAATGGGAATTAGAATTAGAATAATAATTAGAATTAGAATTAGAATTAGAATTAGAATAAGACTTAGAATTAGAATTATAATAATAATTAGAATTAGAAGAGATACAGAGCTTCTGATTGAGATGCAGAGGGGGGGGGGGGGGGGTACAGTGGGCCGCGAAGGGGGGTTATGATAGTATTATAAGGAGGGGGTGGGTAATTAAACTTTTTCCTGGGAACTACTTTTCTCCACATTTCATACTACCTGGAAATATTTTTCCGTATCTACCCGCCGAGAATTTTCCTGAAAATTACTGAAATTTCTGATTGATATCACCTACTAAATCTAAGTTGTTAACACATAACTGGTGTTACTGGGCGACACTCAGCATGTCATTCCGCTGAATCTACAATCTCTTTATGAACAGAAAAGGTAAAATTTGCATCGCGCGCAGAAAAATAGACTCCTCCTATACACAGAATTAAAGGAGAGTTGATAGTAGCCTGGTCGGGGCCTCTAGTAGCCTAGTATGATTCTCTAGTAGCCTGGTATGAGCTTCTAGTAGCTTGGTATGCGTAAATAAACATGCAATGTTAGGGCGTCCAATTAAGGTGTCACATACGTAATTCGATGACCAAAATTATGGGGAAAAATGGAGAAGTTCTTTTTTCCTCTCGAATGTAGGTTAATTTTTGTATTTAAAAGTATTTTGTAATGATTTCAGTGTACACTTATCTAAAGAATGGAGTATCTGATTTGCTGCACAGTGCACCCATCATGCTCGTTGTGTTCTATCACGTGTGAAGAGTAAAACAAAATGCTTGATAATTTTATTTTTGAATTCATATGGGGCATTCAATGACCTATTTCAACATGTAAAATGGATTTTATAGTATGTTCTTAAAGCAATTTAATACTTAATGGGCGTGGTCTCAAAAATATTATAAATATTTCAATTTCAGACAACAGAATTCTGTCGTAGCTCACGCTAACCCAAACGTTTGCACACTGAATTTTATTTATTTTGCAAGTTATATAAAATGAACGTCCTTTTATCAAAGATATGGACTATAGAAATTGTGCAGGTTGCCCAATTTAATTTTGAGCGGGCGTGGTTTAAAGGTTTAAAACAAAAGAAATCAAAAATTTTGATAACAGACCCCTGGAATGAGTAATATGCTCATATATCACTCAACTCCCTGCTACTCCAGTAATATCACTCAAGTCTCAACCCCTCCCTGCTACTCCAGTAATATCACTCAACCCCTCCCTGCTACTCCAGCAATATCACTCAACCCCTCCCTGCTACTCCAGTAATATGACAGGAACACAGATCTATGATTTCCTTTTTCCTAGTTCGTGATATTCGTAGTTCCCTTACCCAAATACTGAAAGCTATTTTGGCCCTAGGATGCATACAGAAGTACACCATTGGATTTACAACGCAACTTATGTAATAAAAAGTTACTGTCAAGACTTGAGCAAATTCGTAGCTCATAGCCATGTCAAAAATGTTTGCAATGCAGGAAGGGAAATAAGCGACGATCCCTGAAAATATTACGAGAGTTGAGGTTTTGAGGATTCGTCGACTGTGTAGACTGTTCCTGGTGATCTCGAAGGCAATAACAACATACATTGTTATGATGAGGAAGAATGGTAGAACTATTGTAAAGCTTTGTACCACAAATGATCCGATTCTGACACAGCGCAAGTACTTTGGGTCGTATTCAATCTGAAATATTATCACATAAAAATAAAACCAACTTAATTCGTACTCTATTTAAAAGAGAGCTAATTAAATGATTGGACAAAGTGCAAAGTAAAGATGGTAACGTTACCTTGAGTGAGTGAAGGATGTTGTAAGACACCAAATCTTTAACCAAAATACAAAATATCGGCAACCAGCTCGTAACGGTTATTACTCGACTGAGTCTCCTCGTCATGACGTATCTGTGTCTTATAGGGAAGAGGACAGCAATATACCGATCAATGGTTAGTGGAAGCAGGACAATAACCCCCGAGTTACTGATCAGTTGAATCAGCTCCTCATACATCTCACAAAACCAGGTCACATGACCCGTGCTAGGGTTCACTCCGATGAAGCGAGTGGAGATCATACCAGCACCCCGGAGCACACCACTTAGAGACATTGCCACGTCACTCGCTGCTACGTTCATTAGGAATATGTTCTGCGAAAAGGGATTGTTATTATTGCTACTGTCAAAACAGCGCAATCATTATTGCAACTGTTACAACAGCGCAATCATTATTGCTACTGTTAAAACAGCGCAATCATTACTGCAATTGTTACAACAGCGCAATCATTATTGCTACTGTTAAAACAGCGCAATAATTACTGCAACTGTTAAAACAGCGCAATCATTATTGCTACTGTTAAAACAGCGCAATCATTACTGCAATTGTTACAACAGCGCAATCATTATTGCTACTGTTAAAACAGCGCAATAATTACTGCAACTGTTAAAACAGCGCAATCATTATTGCTACTGTTAAAACAGCGCAATCATTACTGCAATTGTTACAACAGCGCAATCATTATTGCTACTGTTAAAACAGCGCAATCATTACTGCAACTGTTACAACAGCGCAATCATTATTGCTACTGTTAAAGGACCAGTTAACTGAAAAAAAAGTTATCCTCATATTTTGACAGATTGTGACAAATAGCAAACTAAGCAACGAGTCGAAATTCCTAAATCTCTAACTGCTCTCTAACGCGTGTAAATAGCGTTTGTATTATTTTGGTGATGACGTCACGAAGTCCCTCATTGCGTGCGCAGAGGCTCTGAGGAGCTCGCGTGACTGTATTTTACAGGTAGAAAATGGACATGCCGTGTGTTCTGGAGGTTAATGAAGAGTAGGAGTAGCGGTAACAAAGCAACAACAACAACAAGGTGATAGCCAAGACTATAAGGATTTTGGAGAACTAGAGCTAGGGTAATAGTCATAATTCTAAAATTTGAGTGAGTTACACGTGTTTTATTGACAACGATAAACATTTGCAACGTATTACGCTATGCTGCAGCGCGCACTGAGGCACTTCGTGACGTCACGAGGCCACAGCTTATTATTGCAATAACACGCGTTACACGTACGCTAGAGAGTTGGTTCTTTCGGCGATACGATACTTTACCAGTTTGTCACAACTGATTTAAATCTTAGCCAAATTGGAGACTACAAATTTTTCAGTTAACTGGTCCTTTAAAACAGCGCAACAATTACTGCAACTGTTAAAACAGCGCAATAATTACTGCAACTGTTACAACAGCGCAATCATTATTGCTACTGTTAAAACAGCGCAATCATTATTGCTATACGGTATCCATGTCTTTTTCCTTTAAATTCCAATGCAGTACTATCTCTCCCATCCACACCATAGTTTGGCGAGTAACGGCTGGTGATTTAATTGTTATCTATATGAAATTGATATGTGTAACCTGATTAGCAGGGAGTCGAATACGAAATATCAGGAAGTACAGTTCCAATGTGTTGAGAATAACACCAGCGGTGGCAATGGTTATCAGGATACTCCCCTGGCCAGAAAAGGAGATTTTATATATTCAACTTCTTGACAACCACTGTTCAGTGTTCATAGATGCAATGATTTTAAAACTTAATCTTTCTCAAACCTTGTTTAATTTACTTACATTCACCAATCGAAAAGGGCAGACCTTCTCATTGTCCGAACAATAATGACCGTTTATAACGAAACCCATTTGAAATATTCACTCAAACGTAGCTATTGGACGCCCCCTTTACCAAATGTACCTAGTAACACCCTAGTAACACTCTAGTAACACCCTAGTAATAACTTTACCAAATCATATGAGACATCAAAATAAGCCAGGCACAACGTGCGAGTACGATATTTTAAATACTCTGATCCCTGCTTTTCGACTATATGTCACCTTGGTGGCATATATTGATTATAAACATATGGTTCCAATAATGAGTGGTGTGCTCTTTATAATACGATACGAGAGAGTTCCCTCACCGGCAAGAGAGTTGCCTTCATCTCCTTGGTTAATATCATGTCTCTTTTTCTAGACTTTTTAGCAAAGTGACATTCGGAATCGATCTCAAATGCTTCGAATGATGCTAATGCCTCTCCATATGGTGGAACACACACACACACTCTCTCTCTCTCTCTCTCTCTCTCTCTCTCTCTCTCTCTCTCTCTCTCTCTCTCTCTCTCTCTCTCTCTCTCTCTCTCTCTCTAAATTTGCAAGTGATGCGCGGAAAATGCGCACGCTTAAATTCTGGCAAGATGTTTATATCCTAAAATATCGGAAATGCGGATAAATTTTGACGGCAGTGCACGCAAATCATTTCTGAGGCGCAGCTTGTATTTGTTGCTAAGATCCCTTCTGCACGACGTAACCTTATTCCAAAATACTATCATTTTGTCGAAATTCATGAACCTAATTATTGTTTTATCTTTCACAGTTTCAGCTCAGCGACAACAAGTTCCAATTATTATTAAGCCCAATTTTTTTTAAATGCGGGATACCGGCCGAATTTCAGATTGCTATATTAGTTTTGTCACTATTATTTAGAGACATGGTCCAGAATTTTCACCGACATTTAGCTCATGTTATCAATATTATTAATAAATAAGAAATGATCTCTCTCATTTTAGGAAAAAGAAAACAAAAATCTTATTCAAAATCTAAAATTTTCAGGATACGCTCACAACTTCTTTAAAATATTTGTAATTGCTGTTGGTAAAAACTAGATTTCTAAAATTGTCCGGATAAAGTCTTGACCTTTTGGCCGATAAAAACCTGAATATCTCGTTAAATAACCACCGCGTCCTTCAATTTCCGTCCCATTGATAAAATGATACACTTACTATTACAATATTGAAGGTAACTAGAGGTTTGTAAATATCTCCTGATTTAACGCATCTTCTACCTTGTTCTGCCGGCACGAAGCTAGCTCTAACATATTGTGTTGACATATTGTAGCATATGTGTTAATTTTATCTACACTCCGCACGCAATACTTGTTATTGTGTGTTACAGTGCAAGTGTGTACTGTATAGTGCTAAACATGGCCTCTTAACTCAGCTGTACTCCGCAAGCTGAACGGGGCCTCTTAACTCAGCTGTACTCCGCAAGCAATACTCGCTAAACAGGGCCTCCTAACTCAGTTGTACTCCTGTTATTAGATAAGTTACTACTGTACACACCACGAGTGTGTATATAATATACATATTGTGTTGGACAGTCCTTTTACCGTTAATCTTCATTTCTTCAGGGTTTGTGTGTTCTACTGCCATTGCATTTTGTAAAGTATGTAACAATTCGATACTGAAATATAATATCTATATATATTTCTATGTTATGTGTATATTATATAATACTAGAAACCCTAGTCGAAAGCTTTGTTCGAGGAAATTTAAAAAATCAGTTATGTTTTAATTTCTCTTCGTCATCCAGCTTTGTACTGTAGAAATTTTGGATTTTATTCAACAATGAGGACAACGTTGTAAGAATTTGAAATCCCTAATCGATAATTTTTACTGCACCAAAAATATCAATAACAACAAATATATGAATAGTCGGCTGCCAGACTTTGGGTAAGTTGTCATATGACCACCATATACGTCATCAAGTAATTTACATGCAAGCTTGAAGCAATTAGGGAAATTAGAGAAGCTCACATTGGGGAACCAATCAATTAGCCTATGCACAACTAAGAACCACCGGTATATTGTAATTTGATTCAAATTGGTATTGAAACCTCTGTGAAACCCCTCCACCATTTCCGAGTGAACTCCGGATCCTGAAGAATACTGGCGAAATGAGTCGGAGTCCGAAAACGTATATCGAAGTTGACCAGTAGACATATAAAACTTGACCAAACGACATAAAGTTTACCAGAGGACATAAAGTTGACCAGTAGACATACAATGGATTAAGAAATCGAACAGTAGGTGAAATCAGTGTTGTTATTGTTCAGATACTTGTCACAAACGTCATATCGTTATTGATTTGTGATTCGCTTGTTATTGAACAATGGACCGCTTTCTTAAACGGCCTATCAGGATGGGTTGTGTGGGCAGTTTAACCTAAGGAGAAGGCTTCTGAGTTCTGTCCTTATCTGTAGTGAGGGTAGCAGTGCAACTTCCATTCCGCGTGCGGTTACATCTGTAACTCAAATTGTCCTTTAGTTCAGATCGCTGCTGGTGCAAAATCATAAGTCTTCCACGGGTGGCACTTAGGACTTCTAGAAGGTTCGTGCTTGTTCTCTAGTAGCGCTACCACTTTCTGTGCAGGGAAAGGATGTAGTCCACGTCGAGGTAAGTTTCGTCGACTTTAGTTATTAAAGGGTTGCGTGTGGGTACTGGGTAGTTACTTCTGGGTCACCCTGTACAGTGTACTTTAATATGCCCCCCCCCCCCCCCTTCCCCCCCCCCCCCCCCCCCCCAACGAACCCACTAAATTTCGACGACCATTTATTACGACGTGCCCGTACAGTGATACTTCATACTTGCTATATAATTGATAAGCTCAATATGTAGTATGTAATACTAAGGGCTCCTTTACTATCATGTGTATTGCGTGCCACTGTAAATTCACTTCACTACAATAGTTGTACTCTTAATTTCGTGTCTGTTATATTTTCAGGACTTTGTTAAGATGTGCTTCACATGACCTTTGTTTTTGGGACTCTCAAAATCGAAGCATTTACTCACCATCTGCTATCAGTGTCATTATTTTCCTCCTCAGATAATCCATACTAAGTTGCTCTTATCTCTCTCTCTTATCTTATCTCTCGTGAACTGTCAGTTGAATTTCCGCGTTTTTGTGTGACTGATTCCACTGTTTATTCTGTTAAGCATTATACAAAATCATTTCTAAATGTGTCTTAAGATTTATTAAAATGAACCAAATGTGGGACACGAAATTAAGGATAAATCCTCACTTTGAGACCAAGCGCTAGCCATTGGAAGGAAAACTTGTAAAAAACATCATGGGGCTGCCACGCCCTTCTCAAATGAATAACGGCGAATTTGTTTAACGGTCTTGGAAGGTCATAAGTCATAACCTACAGCCACTGTAAATAATAAATGATCATAACCTACAGCCACTGTAAATAATAAATGATCATAACCTACAGCCACTGTAAATAATAAATGATCATTTCGCCGCCTTTTTTTGGGACACGTTGTATGTTACCTTCTATTGTAGCCACACTCGTAACCAGTCTAGCAGAGGTTTTCACGTTAACTTTCGGACTTTGTTAGTATAGCCTCTTCCCTGAAGGACAAATCATACCACCAGAGGATGACGATTGAGACAAGTTTTCCTAAAGTAAGTTTAGGAGAGTTTTATTAAACACACCACAGCACGCAGACAGAGTAATATTTAACTTTATAATTTGAAACTTTTACCAAATTTGTTACAATTATAGAATGAAAAACCTAATTCGGATATCCATTATACATGTCTTTATCCAAGCTAGGAAATGTGAAACAGGATATGCTAAGTTAACGGATGATTGCAAAAAAATGAAACTTTTTTCAGAACACTTGGCCTTTATCGGGTCGATCAATTCATTTGTGGTCAAAATCAATAAAACAGTGTTAAAATTTGGACAATTTTGAAAAGAAATATTCAATGCCAAACACTCATAAGCCCCTTGCGGTAGGCACAGACAGAGGCACATATTAGGTGCGGTAAAAAAAATCGAAATTATGCGGTACCGCACCCGACTATAAAGGTAAAATGTGCGGTAAGGTGCGGTAAATTTTTACCAATTATGCGGCAAATGTGCGGCGATTTTTCGAAATTTGTGCGGGAATTGTGCGGTTTTCTTTTGCATTTTCTCAAGGACTTTGGAAATTCTAAACGTATAACCGCCGCTCTTATCAAAAATAGGTCTGTTTATGTGTTACTGAGGGTGTCGTTCTTTACTAAAACCATGATTGAACCTATATTGAGATTCAGTTATCTGAGAAGTGAGAACAGTGACTTGATCTGGTAGAGATCAGGAGACAGTTATTTGAAGACGCCTCTTGATATAGTCGATCAGATCGCATGCGTGATCGCAAATATGTGACACGCTTGTTGGCATTGATCGTCAGTACTTGTGAACCATTTGATCCAAGATCCATTAAGCCCATTATAAACCCAACGCTACAACGAATAGAGCTCATTACCCTTTACCTACTTCTTCTATTATCACCTACTTTGGATCATGGAATCTACTCAACAACTTCAAGTTGAAGTTACGAATGATAACTGATACACTATAATCGAAGTACGAATATTGAAATGGTCTCGGTCACGGTCCCGAAAGGGCCTGGGTAACGGTCCCGAAAGGGCCTGGGTCACGGTTCCTAAAGGGCCTGGGTCACGTGGTAACCGGGTCACGTGGCCTAGGCATTAGTTCCAAAAGGGCCTGGGTCACGGTCCCGAAAGGGCCTGGGTCAGGGTCCCAAAAGGGCCTGGGTCACGTGGTAACTGGGTCACGTGGCCTAGGTATGAGTTCCAAAAGGGCCTGGGTCACGGTTCCTAAAGGGCCTGGGTCACGTGGTAACCGGGTCACGTGGCCTAGGCATGAGTTCCAAAAGGGCCTGGGTCACGGTCCCGAAAGGGCCTGGGTCAGGGTCCCAAAAGGGCCTGGGTCACGTGGTAACTGGGTCACGTGGCCTAGGTATGAGTTCCAAAAGGGCCTGGGTCACGGTCCCGAAAGGGCCTGGGTCAGGGTACGGTCCCGAAAGGGCCTGAGTCACGGTCCTAAAAGGGCCCGACTTTTAACAACTTTGGTTTTTACACTCGAAAATCTTAACGCGAAAATTTCAAAATTATGCGAAATTACGCGGAAAATGCTAGATTATGCGGAAATATGCAGAAAATTACGAAATGTGCGGAAAACAATAAATTATGCGGAAATGTGCGGAAAACGGTAAATTGTGCGATCCCGCACCCATCGCACCTAATATGTGCCTCTGGGCACAGAGCAAGCTCTTTCTTACAGAGGGGGGGGGGGGTTCTACACAGTATCTGGGGGGGGGGGGGGGGGGTGGGGTATCTTCTAGACCAGTATCTCTGTCAAGTGAACAACCTACTTCATTTTATCAACTAGATAATCGATATTGTTGCGGGTTGGCAAATTCGTAAATTTTGAAACTTTTACTTTTCAACATGAGATGACTACAAACTGAAATATAGAACATGGTAATAAAACTAATGAAGATGCTGCGAGCGCGACTAAGTGTAACTCAATTAGGTTACTCTTGATTAAAACCAAAAAAAGGTCTATTCCAGTTCTTTTGAAAAGCAGATTTTGTGCAACTTTGTTTATCAAAATAACAAGTATAAGTACCCTGAGCTGCACAGTGTATATAATGATGTATATATTTTACTATTACAGTTCAATGTGGTTATATTAACAACATGCGATTTCAGACAGTAACAATAACGATGCAGCACAGTGACGGTTCCAAGTCAAATCTGGGAGCAATAAGGGTCAGTGTCATTTATGATAACTCATAATTTACTACTTTTTACCAAACCCCAACATTAGGTAGAGTGAACCATGGCGTCTTTTTCCAAAAAAAGAAATGATGTTAATTTAAATGACCGTTCCCAAATGATACCCGATACCGAGAATGAAATCGGTTGCTCGCCTTTACTTCTTATATTAATGGTGTTAAATCGATTTTAAAAGTTGTTTCTTTGTCAAAAATCAAGTTTTTAAAACGAGCGACCGATTTCATCCTCGGTCTCATTTTTCATTTGCGGACGGTTATTCAAATTAATATCATTTCCTTTTGTTTGGGAAATAGAGACACAGGCAGCGGTCCACTCTACCCAATTATGGGTTTTGGTCAAATTATATACTGCAAATAAACCTTCTGATGAGTCGAAATGCAATGTTGCTTGCTAGCATTGTGATAGTTATATATGTACATACTTCTTAGCCAAATATAAATTCCACTCCCGCAGGCGTTTCCACACACAACGCTCGCGGACGCCCGCATTCTGACGAGGACGCTTCCGAACGCGCCGCAGAACTACGTCTTTATAACAAGGAACCGGGAGGTGTCTGAGAGCCAGGAAGCTGAGTTTACCATCTACGGGCTGGAAGAGCTCATACTTGCGGTGGAAACCGTTTGCTAGACTTGACAGAGCGGCTTCTTCGTTTGCTAGACTTGACAGAGCGGCTTCTTCGTTTGCTAGACTTGACAGAGCGGCTTCTTCGTTTGCTAGACTTGACAGAGCGGCTTCTTCGTTTGCTAGACTTGACAGAGCGGCTTCTTCGTTTGCTAGACTTGACAAAGCGGCTTCTTCGTTTCCTAGACTTGACAGAGCGGCCCCTTCGTTTGCTAGACTTGACAGAGCGGCCCCTTCGTTTGCTAGACTTTACAGAGCGGCCCCTTTGTTTGCTAGACTTGACAGAGCGGCTTCTTCGTTTGCTAGACTAAACAGAGCGGCCCCTTAGCTTCGTTTGCTAGACTTGACAGAGCGGCCCCTTCGTTTGTTTTTTCTTTTCATTTGAGAGTACTTCGAATGAACTTTTAACTGCACTATGTTATTCATAAGACTATATAACAATTACACTTAGCAACTTAATACTCACTTGGTAGACGGGGCGTTGGAAGTTTAGCATTTCAAAATTCAAACAGAATCGTTTTCATAGTGATTTAGTTAAGTTCAAAAGCAAATTCATTGACAGCGTCTTGATCTTCTGTTAAAATTGATGATTATTCTTAAACTTTCAGCAGAAATTCTCATATTTTCAAGAATCCGGTCGTGATATTTTAATATTCTGTTCTGACAGGTTTTATTGATGCTGAAATCCTACTATATAGCTATAATTACTATAGTCGATCTAGTAGCCTCTTTAAAGCGAAAAATTGGGTGTTGCAAACTAACAAAGTTTACGAACATGCCTACATTACATTGGCGGTTGCATAACATTTTGTTTGACGTGACTGTATTATAATTTAAATAGGTTCTTGAATTAGCTAGCAGAAACGAATAAGGGGCAATCCACAAATTACGTCCATCGGATAGCTATACTTAAAGATCGGATATGGGGGAGGGTTTTTTTTTTCGATTTTGCGGAGGGTAAGGGGACTGGGAGAGGGTAAAAGGGACGTCCACATGAGAGGGTAAGGGGACTGGGAGAGGGTAAAAGGGACGTCTACATGAGAGGGTAAGGGGACTGGGAGAGGGTAAAAGGGACGTCCACATGACGATTGAGTGGGGGGGGGGGGGGGCACCACATGATAGCATACGTTTGTTTAATTTGCTTCTTATCTGATTTCTTATCTCGCCTTTTTTAACAACGAGATATAGTGCCTCTCACCTTGTAGCTTTAAGCCTTACATCGTGGCAGCTGTGGAGTGTGGAATTACCTTTATGGAATTACCTAAGTTACCTGATGAACGTCCAAAGTGGGGGGGGGGGCCAATTTCAAAACCTTCCAAATTTCAAAACCCCGGGGGGAAGGTTTTGAAATTTGCGACTTAAGTGGACGATAGGGGGGTTTGAAAATTAAACAAATTGATGGACGTAATTTAATTTTATGGATGGCTCCTAACCCATTTTTAGCTTCTAACGTGACAGCTGTCGGAAGTGTAAAATATCCCTTCAAATACTACCATATTTCCCAATCTAATACACCCAGTTTGGATGTAATGTTTGGATTTACTAGACTACGTTTATCCATTTACCAGAATTTAAAGTTAGCTGCCTTTCACTAAGTCTAAGAGGTGTTCCGTGGTACCAGCTCTGAAAACCTTTCCTAATACAATCGTCAATGTAATGTATTTATGTAATCGTCAATGTAATGTAAATGTGCTTGCAGACCCCCTTTAATTCTTTAATATTAGTTGCGGTGCACATTCGTCAATCATGGACATTTTGTATGCCGTAATTTAGACCCTATACTTACATGAATTTGAATTATCTTTTTATTTTTGATAATTTCATAATAATCGATTCCGATGGTCACACTGTTTGAGATTATTTGATTGATAATTTGATCAGTTGCTTTTATAATTTCGAAATTTATGGAGTTTATTTAAAAGGTGACAAAAGTCATTAATACATATCGCTTATTACATCATACAGCGACCGGAGATCAAAGTTAAGTTTAATCGCTCTAACTAATTATTATAAATTAATTGTAAATAGATTCATACAGCAATCCCACTACAATATCAAAATAATTACAATTACATTTCTATTGTTTTTATAGTAATATATGGGGTCGTTCACATATTACGTAATCAGCCGAGGGGGAGGGGGTTTCCAAATGCTTACGGTTGATAACGGGGGGGGGGGGGGGGGGGGGGTTTGGTTGTCGATTACGTAATAAACATTTTATATTTTGCCCTGTAGAATAATAACAATTTGACAATATTTTAATTCAAATTCTACTCAATTTCACTCTGATAGTGATAAAATTTAGAAATTAATCGGATATCCAACTATAGTAAGTACTAAGTAGTTTGACAGGCGCTTGGCCGGATATAATATTAATAACAATGATTTCGGCTCATTATGATCAGTGTAGCATCAAACGTAAAGAAAAGTGTTTCCAAGGGAAAAAGTCAAAGGGGGGGGGGGGGGGGGGGTCTGGCCAAGATTACGTAATATTTCTGTCAGAAGGGGGGAGGGGGTCGGGTCTTTATTACGGTTGATTACAGAGGGGGTAAAAATGTTCCAAAAAATGATTACGTAATATGTGAACGACCCCTATAAACGTTGTTTTAAGGCCATGTACATTGTACAAGATTAATTTTTAAAACGTCAAAAAAACTAGTTGTTTCAACCCGTATCTTCTAACTCAAAAGCTAAAGCAGCTCTACACTCGACTGTCACGTGACTTTTTTAAGCATATATTGGGGATGGTGATAACTCTACACTCCACTGTCACGTGACTTTTTAAAGCATGTGTTGGGGGAGGCCGGAGCATATGAGTTATGAAGGCCACAAATTAGGAAGATGATTAATCACTCTACACTCGACTGTCACGTGACTTTTTAAACAACTTCTCTTGGTGGCCCTGAATGACTATTCGAAATCCTAGTAATCTGATCCCAACTCTAACCTTAATGGGTGATACTCGTAAAATATTTGTTCCAAATATCAGGACCGTCGACGAGTCCAACTCGGCGCGCGTCCTGGTAGGTTATAAACCTTTACCTACAACTCTAACCCTAACACAATCTTTAACAAAAGCATATGCTGAATCTCTAAGTCTAACCCTAACGAGAAATTATACTAACTTTCTTATATGGATATATTACGTGATCGAGACAGTTTTTCGCCAGGGGAGCATTTAACGAAAATAAATCGGTTAAAATTGGTTTCAACTGTCTTTTAGAAAAATATCAAAGATCAACTGTAGAGTGATTTAGCACGCTGACGTCAGCAAAAAATACGTGAATTTTGGTAAACTGTCGTTTCAAATAAATTTTATCAACAACAAAACTTTGCTAATTTCGTTAATATTAGTTAATATTAGCTCTACGGTTGCCCAACTGTTCAAATCAGTCACACTAATTTTCCTGCATACCCACCCACACCCCCGTCAGCATTTCTATACCCCTCGCTGGCTGACTGGAGGGGTTAAGAAAGCAAGGGGGTCTGGCAAATGTCATTAGAGGGGGGGGGGGGGAATCAACAAAAATATGAGAGATGCTTAGTAACGTTTTAAAAGCTAAAATTCCGACAAATAATACCTGCTCCCACACCTTATGAAGGAAGTGAAGTTCTTAAATTGCAGGTTGCTGTGTAATAGGTGAAAATGCTTCCCTGGGGAGTAATTATGGTCATGGGGGAAATGCTGTATTTGACAAGCGAAAGGTTTAATGGTCAATGGTCAGCTTCTGATTTAGTGCTTTTGCCAGTCACGTGACAATTATTGGGAGCGAAATAACATCAGAAAACGTTTTTGGCGTTTTAAAAAATTTTGTAGGTTATACAGTATAACCATTAATAATGGTCAAAACCAATACTAACAGTATAACTTATACTGTTAGTATTGGTTTTGAGCATTGTTAATGGTCTGGCCCGGCGCGCGCTACTTCGTAGCACTTGCCATCGGGCCATATTTCGAGAAGAAAGCGGCGCGCGCTACTTCGAAGAAATTTAGACGAGTAACATCCGTCAAGTATTGCTTTTCAGTTGAGGTTGGATATCTGAAACAATTTATCTAGATGGATTGTAGCACCAAATTACGTGACGTCAAAACAAGGTGTGATTTATTATCAGTGTACCACTACTATTATCACCTTATCAGGGCTCTTCCGTATGACTGGACAGTAACAGTATATATCGCTCTACGCTTATATTATTGTTTTTTCTTTATGTTATCATGGCGCAGGTTTAACATCTCCACCGAAAACACATCCAATTTGATACGTATGAAATATGTTTATAACTTGCTTAATCCTGCACTAAGTTGACGCGTACTGACCAAAATTAACTGAACGGGAATCGTTTAACTTTTGGATCACTTTCAAGGCACAAATAAAAGACAAAAGCTACTCACGCGACGCTATTGTGCTTTTCACGGAGAAATTGGACAGTTGAGTTTTGAGCTTGTTATTATCTTTCAAAAGTATTCGGAGTGATTCGTATAAGTGCATATATTGATTCTGAATATATTACAAAAGATTTGATGTCGATTCATGAAGTTACTGCAATGTGCGCAATTTCGGGATGTGCTTTCGTTGGAGACCAGAGACATAACCTGCGCCGCGCCATGTGTTATTACCTCTATTATTTGCGATATTTTCAGTAAATTTATCGTAATACTAATACCGATCTCCTTGTTGAACAAAAAATCGTATCTGGATTGTACTATATCATTATTGATTGTATTAGTATATTTCTTCAATTCGATTAATATGAATATGATCAATGTGCCCGGAGTTTTCAACTGTCGCTAAATTCTAATCTGAGTGTCATGCTACAGTAAAACTCTAAAGAGTCACGTGATAATTTTTGGGCGAGCGGATTAGTAAGAGCCTAAAACCCCGATTTACAGCGGAGTTTGGGAAAAAGAAACATCGAGAACAATTCGTGCTTCGCGGTAAATCGGGGTTTTGTTTGTTTACATTATAATTATATATACAATATATATGTATATGTTATTGTTGTATTGTTTTATTTAGCGAAATGTGATGGCCGCGGTTGGCGGTAAATCGGGGTTTAATGTAGAAGTTTATATTATGCCCATACAGTTCTTAAATCATTTCTGTAATATTGTAAAAAATAATATAAAAATCCACTTATAGACAAGGGATCGTGTTTAACTTTAACATAATAACAAGTATTTGGGGACTCTGCAGCGCTAGAAAGGCGCTAGAAAGGTTAACAGGTGGTATGATAGTGATACTGATATAACTCTTAAAATATCTGTTCCAAATATAAGACCGTCGTCAACTCCAACTCTGCGCCTGTCTTAGTAGATTATAAACCTACAACAGACGGGGCCGGGGGTCTTCATCGAAATTGAACTTTGACAGTCTATAACTCTTAATGGATAAAGTATTTATATCCATATTTTGCCCGCTCCTACTAAATCGCTCGCCCAAATTTTAAGAAAATTCTTGTGAAAAGGCCCTTTAGGCATGAAAGTGATCTGGATCGGTGTATTTTGGACGCTGATTCCGAATCACCCCCCATGACGTAGGGTTAAAATGCTTCCCTGGAGAGTTATGGGCAAAAAACCGTTTTGGTCACGTGACAGGCTAGTAAAACGTGAATTCGATTATTTAGGGCTCGGGTTAGGGTTAGGGTTGTGGTTAAGATTATGGATAGCTTCGGGGTTATGGCTAGGGTTAGGGTTGGGATTAGGGTTTATTTAAAACCGTTTTGTACGGCTGCAAAACCAAAAAAACCAAAGTCACGTGAAATTTTTGGGCGAGCGATTTAGTAAGAGCCTATTTTGCCAGCAATGAGTCTCATTGTTCTCTGTTTGGTGTGAAAATATGAATTAAATCATACGTTGAAAAATGTTGCGTATTGCACAAACATCAGAGATATTATTTCCGCCTTCGGCGGCGCGCTTGTAAGTTTATAACCTATCAGGACGCGCGCCGAGT